TCTTCATAGGTAAACTTTTACTGGAATACAACCACACCCACTCTTCTGCACCATATTTATGGCTCTCTTCCTGCCACAATGGCAGCGTTGAGTCATTATGATAGAGTCCATAATGGCCCTCAAAGCCTAAAATGTTTACCCTATGGATTTCTGCAGAAATGATTTGCCAATCCCTGTTCTATGAGGATCCAGGGAGGCTCAGGTTGGGTCTTAACTTGAGTCTTGAATGAAAGACACGCAGTGTGTTTTCCTTTCTTTCTTTTTTTTTTCTTCTTTTTTTTAATTTTGCATAAAGGAACAAGGAAATGCTGAAAGAACATTATGCGAAGAGTACTAAGATTAGAACTGATGTTACCACACCGTGTGCAAAAGTAATTATTCTAAGTTAATGCTAATACAAATAATAACTAAGCACATATAGTTGTTATATGTCAGCTACTATTCTATAGGCCTTATACATAGTAACTAATTTTATGCTCACAACAATACAGTGAGGGAGGTGACATTATCTCGATTTTTCGAGATGAGAAGAGAGAGAAAATTTATGATGCTTGGCCAAGGTCACCAAGCAAAAAAAAAAAAAAAAAAATAGCCTACCTAGGGTTCAACTGGTGTTCTCAGGCTAGATTCTACACTCTTTGGAAGCTGAGAAAATAGAAGTGTAAAATATGATTAAGGAAAAAATTGTGCATAAATTTTAGCTCTGAGTAATGAAACTGTTTCCTAAAGATACATGATTTTATTTTATATTGTCTTAATTTATTTTTTATTGTCTTATTATTTTATTTCTAACATTGCTTTATGATTTTATATTGCCAAGCCTTCCTGGCTAACCACACTACATGTTCATTTTATGTACTCTTTGTGCCCTGCATAAAAAAGAAACTGCCATTGCTCAGCTGGAAATCCCCTAAACGGGACATCCCAAGGGCGTGTCTGGAGGTTATGTTGCCATGGTGATGTGTCAATACAGCAACCACTGACCATTCCCAGAGGTGAACCACAACCCATTCATTAAATTCTGACCATCATCATATGTCTGAAACAGTGGCTGAGATTACCACCTGGTCCCTAGGAAGATGAAAGGTTCTCTTTCCCAAATAATGGTCAATAACGTCATCCTGGTTATGAGAGGCAGAAGCCACTGTATGCATTACTACTTCTCTTTTTTTTTTCAGGGGTGGGGGGGGGGAGTCAGGGACTGAACTCAGGGGCACTCAACCTCTGAGCCACATCCCCAGCCCTGTTTTGTATTTTATTTAGAGACAAGGTCTCACTGAGTTGCTTAGCGCCTTGTTGTTGACGCCAGCTTTGAACTCCTGATCCTCCTGCTTCAGTCTCCCAAGTCACTGGGATTACAGGCATGTGCCACCATACCCTGCTTATGCATTGCTTCTTGAAGATATTTTGTGAGTTCTGTTTGGGAGTCCTACTTTAAAGAAAAGGCTCCCAGACCAGAGTAGTCACCTGGAGTCTCCAGACAAAGGTTCGACTAGCATCAGGGGCTCACTACTGCATCTGCTAGTTGCTCAAAATGATATCATGCATGTGGCCCACTGTAAATATCACATTAAACATAGGGAAAATTTCAAAAGAAAAGTTGCTTCTTCATCATGACCCTATTATTACAAGGGAGAGAGGCCAAATAGTCTTCAATAGGATTAACTTTTTACAGACTAACAGAGCACTGATTGATATATATTTTCTCAAGACATTTTGGATATGTGTATCAAACACCTTAAAAAATGTACAAAACCACTTAGAAAGGCCATTTCTACTAATTTACCTCATGGAAATTATCAGAGGTACACTGAAAGGCATATACCTAAGGTATTATTTATAAAAGAGTCAAATTAGAAGCACCCTAATTGTATAACAATATTAGCTAACCAAATTATAACCATAAATAATTACATTAATTGTGTGACCATAAAAAATATACAGTTGTCTAACTTTTAATAATGAGATGTTATTAAACTTCAAAAAGCAGGTTAAAAACTAATATACAACAAAAAATCCTATTTTTATATATATTTTTAAAAACAACATGCAAATACTCATAGAAAGACTGAATTTTAACAGGGGTTTTCTTTCAAGTTTTTTGTTAATAGTTTATATATATATATAAACTCTTCATTGTGTGGTACTTTTTAAAAATAATCCATAAGATTATATTTTATACTTTTAAAAAGTGTATGTCTTTCTTTAGCTGCTATATTACACTTTGACTTTCCCATGTCTTTAAGTTTTGTGATTTTTTTTCTTTCACTATATATTCCCAGAAGTAAAAATGCAGACTAAGTCTTTCTCCACAACCAGGAGGAAAGGCATTCAGGAGTCCAGAGGCCCACCAACAACACAAAAATTATCAATTTCAACATCTGGCTGGAGAACTCATCTGATCTGGCTGGGTCTTTGGTTCTGTTAAAAAGATATACCATCCTGTGTCTCTGGACCACTTCACCGAGTTTATCCAAGTTGTTTGTGCTGGTATGGGTTTAGTTTTTGTTGGGGTTTTTCCTAGAGTCAGAATCCCAAAGAAACCAAGAGGTCAGAGAACAAGCCGGCGGGGGCTGACGGAAACAGTCTGCAAGTACAGCTCACACTGCACGACCTGGCATCTGCCATGAGGGAGGTCACATTGGATCGTTTCTTTCCCCAGGACATCATGGGAGTAGGGAGACGGAGAAACAACACACCATTCTCAGATTTCTGAGAGGACATGAGATGAATTAAAAGTTTGGGGAAATAAAAAAGCATCTTTTCATCTGGCTTTTGAATGAACACCAGAAAATGGTTTATTTATAAGTTCATAGAACATGGACAAAATGAACTAGCATCCTGTTGAGGCCTTCCCAAATTTCAGGATACATTTAATTCGATACAGCTAAGGGGTACCAATCATAGAACGATAATTAGAGGCACTTGCTCTTTAGCCAATACCAATCAGCTTCCCAGGTAACTCTTCTATCTACCACACTGAAAGCTACTGGAAGAAAAAAAATTCCTTTCAAAAGACCCTCACAATCCCAGGGGGTGAAAGGTGTTCCTAAGTCTTCCATGAATTTCTCTAAGCTAGCATGACCCTGTAAAATAATACATATTTATCTAAATGATTTGAAAGGAAGGGGAAAAGTCCCATAATTACTTTGAAGGGTTGAGTGAAATTTACACATTTGTTCAGCCTATATCTTTTTTTTTTAACACTATACCTTTATTTTTTATTTATTTATTCATATGTGGTGCTGAGAATCGAACCCAGTGCCTCACATGTGCTAGGCAATTGCTTTACCATTGAGCCACAGCCCGGCCCGGCCTATATCTTTATTGCTCTCTATTTGCCAGATTATGTGTGAGGTCCTGGGCAACGGAGCTAGGGTCTCTACCCACTTGTGTTCACAGGAATTAGACATGGAGTCAGAGAGACTGAATAAAAAATGGCCCCTACTTTCCTCCCTCTATGGCCATTCCCCTTATACTGTGACTTTGAAGCTCCTCCCGCTATAGAATTCTCACCCATTGAATCTAGACTGACATTAAGACTCGCTTTGGCTACTTGACATGGCAGAAAGGCTAGTGGGTTGCTTCTGCATCGAGGCCCTTGTGTGCTTCTCCTCTGGAAACCTGCCTTTACTAATAACATAGGCCAGCCCACATAGAAGAGAGATGAGGCTCCCTGCCAATAGCATCCCCAGAAGCAGAACTGACTAGCTAACCTGCAGCTGACCAGAGAAACATAGTGCAGCATAGCTGAGACCAGATCAGCCACCTAAACACGCCTGGCCCAAACTGCCAATGCATACAGTCAAAAGCTAAATAAAAGACTGCTGCCTTGCCAGGCGTGGTGGTGCACACCTGTCATCCCAGCAGCTCAGTAGGCTGAGGCAGGAGGATCACCAGTTCAAAGCCAATCTCAGGAACTTAGCAAGGCCCTAAGCAACTCAGGGAGACCCTATTTCTAAATACAATATAATAAAGAGCTAAAGATGGGACTCAGTGGTTAAATGCCCCTGAGTTCAATCTCCAGTAAAGACTGCTTTCTTAACTCATCAAGGTTTAGCCTTTTTTTTTTTTTAAATACAACAGGTCCTAACTAACACATACAGCAAGGGAGAAAGTGCTAATTCTGATAAGCCAAAGAGAAAAGCTGCGAAGCGTGTGTAATATTACTCCAACATGTTAACAACTACAAATGAATCATGCAATTTAGATGTATAAACAACAGAGCTGAGAAGCCATCCAGAGAGGACTTAAGTTATATATGTCTAGGAAAGGGCTGAGTCAAGACAGCCGAGGTTCCTTTGATAAACTTTAATATGGATGAGTTGAATTTGCCTATGAGTCATTTTCTTTCTTTCTTTCTCTTGTAAAAAAACACAAGCTCTTTCACTCAATTAAGCCTGTTGGACTTGATAACAATTGTCTAGCTTGATTCAAAGCAGCCATATCCTCTCTGACACATGTTCAGCCTCCAGTACTCTGTAGGCAGGAACTTTAAATCCAACTCTCCTGAATTTATGACACACATACAGTAGCAAGTCCCTACAGGCTGAAAATCAAACTGTAATTCAAAGGCCACAGGGCTGAGGAAACAGCCAGGAGATAAATCCCAATTTCAACCTTGGATTGTCTGCAAGTTGATTCAGCCGGCTGTCAGTCATATTTAAAAATAAAATAAAACTACAAAGATACCAGATGGCATGTTCTAAAAAGAAACAGGATGATGCTTTTCAGGACTCCTTCAAAAGGTTCTTATCGTCTAAAAAGAACTGCTATGTGGGGTGTTTTCAGGGCCTTAGAATCTTTAACCCCAATCAGTCATTTGCAGATGTAAAGAGATACAAGGAAGCAGGGAAAACCATCAAATGCAATCTAACCCATGGTGCTGACTGGAGGTGACCTTACAGATGTCCAAGTGGCCCATTTCTGGAGCTGAGTAGATCACCTCCTGAGCACTTGCAGAATGAGAGCTCCTGAGGCACATGGGCATGAGTACTCACCTTACAGCCCTCACACGCGCTGACCCCATAGTGGTACCCTGATGATTTGTCCTGGCAGACGAAACAGGGCTTATACACTCGAGGCGGGGGAAGTGGAGACGGAGGGCTCGGGACCAGTTCCTCAGAGCTGGTACTCTGTGTTTCAATCGCTGCAATGGAGATGGGGTGGGGAGAGAAAAAAGAGAAAACGCATTTCAGTTCCTTTATTTTTCATCAGTGAACTCACATGCCTCTGCCCCAAGTTCAGCAATAACACTAAGCAGGGATACTCCCATAAAAACAGCTGTCACTATAGGCCTAGCAGTAGTAACACTGACATTGATGTGGTCTCCTATGGTTTACAGAGCAATCTCATGCATCTCTAATCTGAAGTTCATCAGTGCAATGTGGGGGTGATGATTTTTAATCACCAATTTATCCTCAAAAGAAACTGAAACTCAGAGAGGGCAGGGACTTTTCCTAGATCAGCAGAGCCAAGGCCTGAATCCTGATCTTTTCACTACCGTCCTTCAGAGTTTTCTACTCTTCTGTTTCATCTAACTTCTGCCTCATGGAGTCTCAAAGGACTTGTCTGATCTATGCTCACTTAACCAATTTCCTTAAGGGGTAAAAAAAAAATGAAGAAAATGCCTAGCCTGGTCATTCCATGAGTATTTGGCAAGGGCTTTTTAACAAGCAGATGTAGCTGAACTCCATGGATAGCAACACCAGTAAGACCTCTGCTTAGTAAGAATGGTCTTTGGGCCAGAAGCATCAGCATCATTTCAGAACTTATTAGAAACCATAGTATCAGGCATATGAAATAAAAGTTTGCATTTTAACAAAACACCAGGTGTCTGCATGCACAATTCATGTTTTTCAAGTAGTGGGTTATACCTAATAATGGCATAGAGGGGCATGACTCACTTCCGCTTATGTTGCTATTTATTCTAGATCTAAAAGTAAATCTAGTTTAAACTACAAGAGCCCCCATTTCATTATGTAACCACCCAAATTCCATGGGATATGGGAATTCACAGAACTTAGACCAAAGTGTCCTCCCATCCCTATTCTCTAGGCTTATATTCAAAGTCAAAGCAAGAACAGGCACTATTCCTATTGCTGGCCAAAAAAAAAAAAAAAAAAAAAAAGTCATAAAACATGTAGATGGTAAATAAAAGCGAACAAATAACGTTCCAGAATCTTCCAGTCTCCCAATCATTTTACAATATACAGAATATTTCTCATGGTACCAAAGTTGCTCCCCTGCTTGTAATTAGCCAGATTTGATATTTTACTATTTTCTCCTGTAGCTAAACTTTTACCAAGTCAGGCCAACCAAAGAACAACCAAAGAGTATCTTCTTAATCCATCCCCACCTCAGTACCCAGCTCCTACACCAAGCCAGTAGTCACCTGAACTATACAATAGCCTCTTCATTGGCCTCCCTGGGTCTGCACTTGGTACCCTAAGGGACATTCTTTAAACAAGCAGTTGAGATCATTATTCAAAAGTTAAAATTGGCCAGGCATGATGGCGCACTTCTGTAATCCCAGGGGTTTAGGAGGCTGAGGCAGGAGGAGCCCAGGTTCAAAGCCAGCCTCAGCAATTTATCGAGTCCCTAAATAACTTAAGGAGACCCTATCTCAAAATTAAAAAAATAAAAAGGGCTGGGATGTGGCTCAGTTGTTCAGCACCCCTGGGTTCAATCCCTGATGCCAAAGAAAAAATAAAAAGTTGAAATTGATCTCTCTCACTTGGCTATCTAAAACCCCCTATCAGTCACTGATCCCATACAAGTCAAACTCCTTACTATGTTCTACAATGCTTTTCATAACATGACCCCTTATCAACATCACTGCATCCAATGATTCCCCTCATTTACTGAGTTCTAAATAATTGGCTTCTATTCTATCTGTTGAATAGGCCAAGCTCTTAATCAATTTGAGACTACTGTACTGCATCTAGGTGAGGTGGCCCTTCCCTATAGTTCCAGCAAAACCCTGTCTCAAACACGTAAATAAATAAATAGATAAATAAATAAATAAGAGCATTGTACCAACAATTTCCCCTACCTGGAAATTCTAAGACCTTCACATATCTGGTTATTTTTTTTTTTTTATCTCTTAGATCTCAGAGCAAATGTCACCTTCTCAGAGATGATTTCTGTAATTAAAATGCCCTTCTGAGGTTGGGGGAATAGTTCAATGCTAGAGTATATACTTAGCATGTGTGAGATCATGGGTTCAATCCCCAGGCCAAGACAGAAATGACAGAAAATGCTCCTTCCACTCCCCAACACTCTACCCCATTATTTTATCTTTCTTTTTTTAACACCTTAACTATTGTCCAAATTCAGAAAGTTTACCTGCATATTATATTCTATACCGGCCCCCACCCACCCACCCACCCACACACTAAATATGAATTTCATGAGGCTAAGAAACCTACCCACCTGTTTACAACTATGTTCTCAGACTAAAAGAGGTCCTAGCACACACCAGATAATCAATAAATATTTGCTGAATTAATTCATAAACTTTTCCCTTTTCTTTCTCATTTCAAGTAGTTAAATGATAAAATTAGAAATCAAATAGCTCTCTTATACTCATTTGCTTCCTTAAAAAAGTAATTAATTGGCCCTTTGGAACAGAATCAAGTATAATTATAGTATTTTCATAATTCAGAAGAATCTTGGAATGAATTCATTGGAGCAATGCAGGTCCTAGTAGATAAATCTACTACAGTCTTTATTAGTTAGATCCAAGAAATTTGAGACTAAGACACCAATCTCAGGTGCATATTACTCTTGGCAACTAGAAGCCCTGATCTGAATATTGTGGTACAGAGATGCCAAGTGTTCACAGAAGGGTGGCTTCTGAGATGTCACTAAAGCTCACCAGCTCTCCAGCTGTAAATGCAAAAGCGCTCCTCATGCTGAGCTAATCAGCTTCACTGAAAGCAACAAGAAAACACTACTTGTTAAAATTAAAAAGTGATATACGGATCATAGCTAAAATCCAATAAATTTCACACAATCACCCACACTCTTTCACTCAGAGACACCCACTGTGATCATCTCCATACACATCCTGCCAGACTCTTTCTCTTGCACAGAAAAGTTGTTTTGCTTGTTTACTAAAGTGGAATTATCCTAAGATTGTTTGAGATGTTAACTTATGATGCCGTGAGTTCATTTCCTTGTCAAAAAATATTTTTCCTGCAAAAAATTCCATTGTGATGAGTATCTTTGTAGCTGATCTCAGCACGTCTTATGATAAATTTTCAGAGGTGGAATTATTAAAAAGAATGCTATTTCAAAACTATTTTGTTAGGTTTTATTTCACGTTGATAAACTGACTTCTAGAAAGACTGGCAATTTACACTCCTCCTATCGACATGAGTGAGTCCCTCGCTATATCCTCCCAAATCTTTGGGGTTGGTTTGATTTGTGTGCTTCTACTTTCACTCGTATGTGTCAACGGCTCTGACAGAGCCATGTCATCACCACTATGATCAATCCTGCATTGTGTTATTCACAGAAACAAGGTGTGTGTGGCGGGGGAGGAGGGTAATGTTCTACTCGCTCCTGTAGAACAGCTAATCTGGCTTGTCTAGGAAAGTTGTAAATAGATTTCTGTTAGGGCTGGGTTCAGCTGTCAAGAGTTATGCCCTGAATTTTAAAAGTGGGTGGTAATTTCCATAAATATGCCACTTCAAATACAGGCACTAAGGAGAGTCCAGCACTTCCTCCCTCCTAAAAGAGAGGACACAGAATTGTGGGCAATGGATTGCCCAAGAAATTCAGGGCACAGGACACAAAAAGGCAGAGGCTTATAGGACATCAAAACCCCAAAAACATTATATTTATTTACACACACACACACACACACATACACATACACACGTATTTTTTTTTTCCTTTTTCCTTCAGTGCTGGGGATGGAACCCAGGGACTTACACATGCTAGGCAAGCACTCTACCACCGAGCTACATCTCCAGCCTGACATTTTACAAAGGTTGGTAAAAGCCTTTTTCTAGAGACGAGAGTCATTTGTAACACATGAATGAATCCAGAGGGCTTTTCCTAAACAGATGCTGTGAATGAAAACGTCCTGTTGTAAGCAATCAATGGTGAGAACCCCGGACTTTTAAGGCTATGGTAAGTTCACCAGTAATGCTATGGGCTTTCCCATATTAGTACAATGGAGTATCAGACTGTTTCTGTGTTCCACTGTTTATTTCACTGACTAATATGCTAGGCGTTGTGTTATATGCTATGGAAAGTGCATGGTATAATCCCTCATCCTGACAAGTTCCACCTAATAGAGAATAAACCAACGATTAGAATATAATAAAGTGGTTCCCGATGTGGTTTCACATTAGATCTTCCTGGGGAGCTTTTAAATCATCTATTGCCCAAGTTATATCTTAGACCTCTTGTCTGGGGAATGGGAGTCTGTTCGTCAAAAATTCATTACCACAACAGAATGAATTGGACATAATTTTCCTATGTTCATACACGCACAACCAAAAAAAAAAAAACATGGGAAGCTATACTTCATGTATGTATGATATGTCAAAGTACATCTACTGTCATGTATAACTGAAAATAACAAATAAAAAATTTAAAAATTGAATGACTCAGACTAGGGGGTACTCAAAAACTTGGAAAAAAAAAATTCATTCCCACGTGAATCCAAATTGAGAGTTGGTAATCACTGATATAAGGATAGGGAACTACAGGCCTGTTCAGCTCAGGAGAAATCAAGGGAGGCTTCCCAGAGCAGGTGATGGGGCCATGCTCTGAAGGATGAGTTGGTTCTTCCTATTGTGTTTTGTAATTTAAATCCTACAAATGCCATTAAAGAATCCAATGCAAAAACAAACAAAAAAATCTTACATATACTGAGTAACAGTGATCTTCAAAAAAGTTTTCCCACTGATGGTAAAGAATTAAATATTTAGCTATACATATTCAGATATGGTCCTCAGAATTGGCAGTCTACGGTCCTTTATTTCTTCGATGTGTCACATAACTATGAAAATAACACAAGGCCAAAAAGAGAAAAGAAAAAAAAAAATTCAGTGGTGTAGTCAGATCACCAATGCTGGCCTCGGGATAACATGCCAAGACAAGTTCTATAATTACAACCAGGATATGGCAGCA